AGTGTGAGCTCTTTGTCTTCATTATTTTTCTTACCCTTATATTGAAGGGCCCAAAGCGTGATGATTTCTTCTTGATCCCAAACTGGCATGAAGTATTGAGTAAAACCCGGCCATTTGACAGCCTCATTAAATCTTTCCACTTTCGGCGACGTGAGCAGGATCATATAGGCCTTACGTTTAGATGTCAATTCTTGTGCATCAACTAGAAAGAAGTTATTTGAATTCCTCAGTATCTCGTCGAACTGGTAAATATACCCGTTTTGCACATTACTATCAGATGAGAATTGATAGCATATTTTTTTGTCATATTGCCAGATTATTATAGCTTCAGGATAATTGTAGCGAATATAAAAAAGGAGATATAGACCAAAGTATGACTTTCCGATACCAGGAGTACCAGTAATCGCGCAACCAGCCCGGGCTGGGCCTTTTTTTTTGCGATTCGTTTCAATCAATTCGAATAAGCTCAGATAACAGCTCCGTATAAGAAGCTTCGATCCATTATCCTCATCCCCCAAAAAGAACACACCATCCGGTAGACACAGCATCCCTCCAAAGTCATTCATTAGTATTGATGGCAATATCACATCTGTTTTCTTCCCATTGTCGTATAGCATACCATCTGAATCGGGAATCACACCCTTATTTAGGCAAAAATTGTTATTTTCGATCGTAGAGTAAGATTTCAGAGCATTTAATTCAGCCTTCTCCATATCTTGTGGTATCGGGAAGATTATTCTTGCTTCAAGGAGTTTTTTCCAAAATTCGACCACACCAGAATCAGCTATAATGGAAAAAAAGAATAAATATAACGCATTGGTCAACGTACAATAAAGCGAGAAAATAGTAATAGAGATATTCATAATAATTGCCTTCCTTAGATGTCTGAGAAGTCGCTAGTTTTTCTTCCAATTCTTTTATTTTCTGTATTAATGCAGTCGTATCTGAATAATAAGTATGAGGCCCAAGTTAATAGATGAAATTATTGCGGAGAAAGCAGTATGGGTTTGGAATATTTGAATGCAGTCGTGGTACTACTTACCCTGGTCCTCGCCCTTGATTTGTTTGATTAATTTTGCTATAACTTCTGCCAGTCTACCGGGAAGCTCATAAGGGGAGGCTAGAAGCTTTTCCAGCGTTAACTCAAGGAAGGATATGCCATTAACTTTTTGTTTACGGAGAATATCAAAATGCTTATCCTTAAGTCCTAGGTTTTGTTTGTCCAAAAACTCTATTAGTACTTCTG